CTTCCTCACCTCCCCGGGCAGCACGCTCCTGGCGCGGCAAGCGCGCATTACCACATACTTGACTTTTCACGTATATCGTGGGCAGGCTCGATACCGTGCAATGCCGTGCTGCAGTCGGCCGCGGCGGCGGGTTGAATATGGTGGGAGTGCGGCCCCGCGAGCACAGGCTAGGTTGGCTGGCTGGCTTTTTGCTGGGGGGCTTGCGATGCAAGCTAGTTGAAGGTAGTGATAAGACGCGGACCGGTTCCCGAGGCGGATTACGGAAAATGACTGGCGAGTGCGGGAAGAAGAAGCTGACGCGGTCGGGGGAGGCGATTGGGAAGAGCTCGAGGAGGGAGTTGGATGATGGCGCGGGGCAGTTGCGCCGACGAGGGTGGTGGCGGGGGCAGCAGCGGCGGCGCAGAAGGCTGACATTTGCCTGGGGCCGCCGCCGTATGGCCCCCGAAAGCCCATGTGCCCGGGCCCTGTATACGACATGTCGTACCTGTGATGTTTTTTTACCCAGAATCGCACGGTGATGGCTGCTGCACGATGACACTGTCGCCACGATGACCTGGCTTTCTGTTGGTGGCTGGCGGTTGTCACAACTGACTGCTCGGCGGCATGACTGACCCATGGGTCAGTGGGCCGGCGTGCTGTCGGGCAAATGCCTCGCTCGTTTCGTGGTCCTTCTGCCTCTTTGTTGTGCACCCGCTGAAATATGCTGGCCATCCTTTCGGGCTAGGCTGGGGGCACATGCACGGGCTCTCGCAGGCTCTCTCGCTCTAACGGGAAGCACGACAGGCGCCAAGATGCTCTGATGTGAAGCTGTTGCTGATATGGCGTGATTTATCTGATAGTGGTGTTGGTGGTAACGGTGTGCATAATACATTGATATCTAGGGGGCCCCTTACGCTGGTGCATAATAGCAGGCAGCCGATTGTGGGCGATATATGGCGTACAGCACAATGGCAAAAATGCCTCTCCTCGTCGCCCTTTTATTTCCTTCGGCAAGGCTGTTGCAGGAGGACAGGAAAACATGTCTCTTGACCGTTTTCTCCTCGTTCCCCCATCGCCTCCGCACTTTTTGCCGGCAGCGCACGGCAACACGTTGGAAAGAACGACGACAAGTAGGCAATTTGTCGTGTACCCTTTGCGGACGCCGCGTTTGTTGGTACTCGTACTTTTCGTGTTCCTCTCTTTTCTTTTTGCTGCATATATGGGTTTTAGTTTTATAGGGAGCCAGTATGGTTTTTCTAGCGTTCTTTTTATACAATAACACGATAACAATGAAACCGGGGAGGTCGTAAGCACCCGGGGAAAGCCGCGGGGATGTGGGGCGTTCGATTTGGCAGAGGGAAGGGATGTTGGGGGGGAAGGCCACAGAAGCGGACATACATTCTGGAGAGCTGGCTTCCCGATCTTCTCCGCGGTGGAAGTCATGCCCCTAATTACAGGTTTGCTTTGCTTAGCCGCATCGTTTTGCTCACCATGTGGTGGGAACATGCTGGGAGACACGAGCGCGTTCGCTTTGGACTCAAATATAACAACAGTACGAATCGGTCGTACGACGCGCCGACCCAAAACCCTGGAACCTTTGGATGCTCTCGTACTTAAGGCCTCCTATGGGGGCAATGGGATATATGCCGGTACCGCAGACCTGGAGTCTACGTGCCGTACAAACACACTTGTGTTAATTGAGAGATTTTACAGGTGGTGGCTGGTTGGCGAGATTTATGTAGTTGATGCTTTTTTGGTGTTTCAGAAGTTTGTTATGTATAACCTCGTGTGATGCCGCCACAAGTGCCGTCCAACGCGTTGTGTGTTCCAAGGGCGTGTCGAACTATCTGCATGGCTCTCGTACGCTCTCTGTACGGACATTCAGAAGTGGATGGAATGTTGCGTTTATACATTAAATACGAGGTTCCGTTTATCATATGTATGTGTCGGTCTGTCCGTCTGTGGTGCTGCGCCAACCGCTAAAACTGTGCTCGTCCTTGTAACGACCCGAGTTTTTGTTGTTCGTTGGCTTCGTTGCGGCGGTTGCCGAACTTGCTTAATAGCTTGAAGTGTAACCATACAAGAACCCCCGAAAGGATAATGCTCCCGGAAAGGGACTACGGTGACGTGTAGGTACGAATGAATGAAGGAATTGAAATACGGCTGCCAGGGGCATCGTACTGCGACCAGCCGGAGGCCCCGTACACCGGCTGTACATCCCACCGGCTTAGCTCCTACCGTCGCTATTTCCACTACTACTACCACTACTACTAGCACTATTATTATTGCTCTCGTAAATACAGCCGAGGGCGCTCGGGGTAGGTACCGTGGCCGCTATCCACACGCTCTTCCCCCTGTTTCTACATTGTGAGGAGGGGGGAAAGACTCGCCCCCGTATCCCCTTTCTTGTCCAAACCCTGAAAGTTGGTGCGTTCCGTCACTGCGCACCGCCTCTTCCGCTCCTTGGCCTTTCCGCCTCCTACTTGGTGACGCAATAAGTTGGCCAGATCTTGCCAATACCTGCTTGTTTGTCTGTCTGTTTGCCTCACGCGCCGAAGGATTTACCCAAGCCTAATTTCTAGCATGTGGAGGTCGGCGGCGGCGGCAGGAGGTCTGTTGAGGACGGCGATCGTACTAGCAGGAAGGAAGGTTTCGGTGCCGTACAACCATGAAATTCCTTCCGAGACGCAATCTTGGCTTTGTACGAAATTCCGTTTCGTGCATTACGTAAACTTGACGGTTGTTTTATCTTCCTTTTGGTTCCTGCTCCTCCTAAATCGATTGAGAGGTTTGGTTTGCTGGCCTTGTCAGTCACCGTGTGTCAAGATGTGCGTGCATTGGCACTCAGCGAATGGTGGCAATAACAGTGGCAATGTGTGCAAAATAGGGGTTGGGTTGCGCTTTCAAAGAGTGCGTGGCTGTGGGTGGGTGGGTGGGCGGTGTCGAGCCAAGAGGGGGAAAGGGGGAAGGTGACGCCTTTCCCCATCCTCTCTTGTTCTGGAGACTGGAGACTTGCTCCGCTCAGTTGTTGAAGATGAGGAGGCGGCGGACTTCGGCACTGAAGTCCCTCGGATGTCGCCCCGGTTCGGTGGCGTGGTAGCGGGAGGAGGAAAAGGGTGGGGAATGGAAAGCGCAGGGACCTGAGAGAGAGTGTGTGTGTCTGTGTGTGCCCTCAAAGCCAAGTGTTTGGCTTTGAGGGCTGCTGCGTTGCTTTTCCAAAGCTCGCAGGGGGAGAGGAGCAGTACACACAAGCCTCTGTGTGTAGGAGGCCCTGTAGGGGTGTGGGATGGGGGGCGCCGCGCATTGCTGTGCTCGTGTGTTCATAGCAGGAGCAGAACTCCTGGGAGGTCGCTTGTATGCTCGTGCATGCACATACATATGTGCATATATACACATATATAAATATTTATATGTGTGTATATACACTACATATAAATATATATGTGTATATGTATGGGTGCGTTTTTACTTGTTATACGCGAGTGATTTAGAAAGGTCGTCGCGAGGCCGAGTCACCCGAAGCAAAACCCCTAAGGAGGGACGCAGTAAATTGTCCCTCGGTTGCATGTTGTGTGTTGTATTTGTGTGTGCATGTATATGTCAATGAACTGAGTGCTGCTTCCACCGGCCATGCATGACTACATGATGCACACGACCGCGCATGTACGCATCATATTCCACTGCGTGCCATTGTACGATGTAACCTGGCTCATGGCTGTGCGGCACAGTATGGCATAGAGGCCCAGTCCATTGTGAAGGCGACGGTGATGGCAACGGTGACAGTTACGGCCACAGCAACGCCGAAGGTGAAGGCGGTAGTGGCAAACCTGAAGTGACAGTAAAGATGGCGACGCTTGTAGACGGTGACGGCGAAGACGGCGGTCAGAGCCCGGGGCGGAGGATGCTGGCAGTAAGAACGGATAACAGTGAGCGGCCGTCAGTTACATCCATCCATCGAACGACGGGGCACTGGCTTCGAGAGTTTCACCTGGTCAGCTCCAAAAGCAGTTTTTGGCAAGGCCGAACAGCAGTAGGCCCCTGGCGGAATGCAAGCGCATGGAGTGAAACCTTCTCACGTGGTGCGGCACGCGGTCGTAATAAATGCCAGGTGCCTGGCCCCTGGGTCTGCCAGGTGCTCAGCTCACCAGAAAACAGCTATGTTTCCCCAAAGACACTACCTACCTGGATCTGAATTGTCTGTTGTGTGCGGCCAAAGCTGGTGGATTCCGGCGATGCCGGTGGTGAACTGCATGAAGCCATAGCCGTATGGGTCCAAGCACCCCACGTGCAGGTATCTTATACCACACAATATACAGTATATACTCACAGCATACCTCAAGCAGCGTGCCCGCCAGCTTCAAATTCCCACTGCGTCCCTAAGAGGCGTTCCTGCCAAATAGGGAACGCAAGCGAAGCCTTCACTGTGAGAGCTGTTAAGCAATGAATATATACACAGCACAAGACCCCACTTTCCCGTTCCTTTTTCCATGTTTGCCGTGTTGGGCGCCTAAAGAAGCGTAGCCTTCTTACGTGCCATGCCTGTAAATATATTGACAAATGAATCAAATTATAAATTCCTATATCCTTTATCATGCGACGCAGCAGTAGACGCACTGTGGACTGTGCATAAAGATGGTCAAAGGTCAACGCATCTGTTGGCAAATCATTCCTGGCATGCCAGCATTACCCCAGAGTTACAATATGTCATGATGATGTGAATTTTCCTAGGATTATCCGGCATGCCACTTGCCCAACGCAATTCCGCTCGACTGCTTCTCGGCGTGGCAATCTGCGCCAGCCCACAGCATGGGGGTCTTCCAATTTTGACATACCCGAAAGAATCTGACCTCTTACTTGATTGGAAATGTACATGCCAAGCCGCGGCAGGAGCAGCAGATGCAACGTCTGTCGGCATTCTTCAACTGCAGTCATGCGTCCTTGCTTACCAGACATCCCAGCACGGCTATGTGCTATTGCTGGTAGGCACATCATCATGTCCGCACGCTGTCATGCGTATAAAGATGGCGGAGCTTCTCAATCTATTGGATTTGCTGCTCGGCCAAACTCTGGGGCGAACGCTGTTGGCCGCTCCAACGCCAGCGTCGCTGCAATTACGCCTCCCCCAACAGGATGAGTTACTTCAGGTGCGAACGCAGCAAAAAAATAGACCGATGAGCGCAGCGGCCTTGCATAGAACCTCAATTTGAGGAAGGCCGGAGTGAACAGCCTCCTCCTCGTATGAGAAAGCCTTGTCGACAGGATCCGTCGTCATCCCATTCTACCCTGGTGTCCATTTGCATCGTCCCATGATGTCGCCTCGGAAAAGTGGCGGCACTCAGGTTCCTTCAGGTTTCACACTTTTTGCGTACGACAAACCGGTATTAACCGAACATTTGCTCATGCTTTAATACATGCCATCGAGCACTGAGAAGTCGCAGGAGCAATGCCTAACCCGACCCGTGGCGTGCCAGCTGCCGCTTCGATATGCACTTCCGTGCATACACGCCCCTTCACCCCCTTCCCGCCCTCCTATCGCACGGCGGCGGAAACAGACCCTTGTTCACACAGACACAGACTCGCAAAGCCACCCGCACAAGCCGCCTTCCTGCCTGATCCTGCCGCTGGACCGCAGGCGCTGCTGCGGCAGCCTCCCCACTACACCGACGTGGACAGCCACACTCCCAGCCTTCCCACCGCCTTCACTGCCACCGACGCCCTGGCGGCAATGGCCGCAGCGGTCGCCTCACCACTGCCCCCAGGCACACTGGACGCCCTCCTGGACCGCCGCTTACGCGCAGTCTCGGCCTTCCCCGCGCCGCGGCTACCTGCCGCCGCCGCCGCCGCCGCCAGGGGCGCCGGCGTCACAGCGGCCGCCACAACGCGATCCGCCGCTGCCTCGCTGCTGCACGAGACCACATTATCCTTCCTGCCCGCCCCCACGGCCGCAGCCTTTCAGGAGCTTCGTCGCGGTGTGGCCCGACGACTCGGAAGCCACCACATAGACCTCACCGCGATGCCACCGCCAGCATCGGTGCCGCTGTCAGCGGCCCGTAGCAGTAGTAATGGCAGCAGTAGCAGTAGCATGATGGCCGCGGGCGTTGACAGCGTGCTATTTTCAGACCTGGCATCACTGGAAGACGAGCAGGAGCGGCAAGAAGAAGAAGAAAAAGAAGAAGAAGGAGATCATCGCCGCGACGGCGAGATCACACCAGCAGCGGCCAGCAGCGGTTCGCAGCGGCGGCAAGCTCCGGATGAGGCCGCTCGGGGAATGCGGGATATGCTGGGGCCGCCGGACAGCCAGCTGTGGTCGCTGATCTTGAGGGAGCTGCTGCACGTAAGTAGTAGTAGTAGTTGTAGTTGTAGCGATCCGGGTTATGCGGAGGACTGCGGTCGCGTCAGTCAGTTAGTCACGGGCCCTGAGTGCGTGGCGGTTGAAAGGTTGGGGGGGGGGGCTGGGGGAAGGGCCGCACGGGTGTGTGTATGTGGGGGTGAATGCGGCCCATTGGGTTGGGTTGGGGGAGTGCGCAGTGTGTGAGGTTCCGGTGACGGTCCACTACCACTACCCATGTGGATGGATTTGGATGGATTTTGGATGCTTCCTCCTCCCTTTTATGGATCTGCCATCCCGGGCGCAGCAAATGCAGAGTGTGTGTGGTGGGGGGGGGCCGGACATGGGCGCGGGGTAAGAGGAGGAGGATGTGGATGTGCGGGAGGGGGCCACATCGCGGGTGGCAGGGTCACGGGCTCGCCACCCAGGTGTGTGTGTATGTATGTGTGTGTGTGTGTGTGTGTGTGTGTCGCCGGCTGTGCGCTTGCCTGCATGCGCGTGCGTCCACCTGTGTTGCGTTAAGCTCCGTCTTGCTCCGTGTTGACGACTGACGTACTGAAGTAAGCCGCCAGGTGCGGGAAAGGATGTGTGCCAACTACATGTGGATGTAGTTCTCGGTGCTGTTCACCCGGTGGCTCCCTCCCCCTTGCATGCACCTCAACACACACACACACACACACCCCTGCGAGGAGGCTGTTCGCGCTTGGATCGGGGATTGGGCTCCTGGGGTCTTTAACTTCCCCTTTCCCCCTTTCACTCCGCGCGGACAGGCTGTCGGCGCCGCCGCCGCCGCCGGGATGCAAGGAGCCGAAGGAGCCGACCCCAGCGGCGCCGCCAGCACCACCACCACCACCGCCGGCTTCCGCCGTCAGCTCTGCAGCATCGACCTGTCGGCGCTGTATCCCGCTCTGATTGCCTCGGCCGCCATCATCAATCTTGGAGCGAGCCCGCAGGTTGGCAGCGGCAGTGACGGCGGCCTGGGCACGCCCACCGCTGCCGCCGCCGCCGCCACCGCCCCTACCATACGACGTCACTGCCGCATCGCAATCGTGGTGGTGTACCTGTTGACGGATGAGGACAAGGCCTCATGGGAAGTGCTCAGCGGAGGTCCGGGGGGCGCCGCCGTGACCCATATGCGGCAGTCCTCTTTCCGCGGGTTACAGTATGTGGTGGTGAGGGGGCCGCTGGCGGCGCCGCCGGCGGTGCGGACGGCGCTGGCGGCTGCGGGGCGCGCGTATGAGCAGGCTTTTCCTACCAACGCTGCTGAGGTGTGGCAGGAGCTGCAGCATGTCGCGATGGAAGAGCGAGAGCAGGTAGAGAACTCTTATGTGGGGGTGCGGTGCTGGGATGATGATTGGAGCGGGGTCGGTGACCGGTAGAGGGGGGGCGGAAGGGGGTAAGGGAGGAGGGGGAGAGGGAGGAGGAGGAGGCTATAGTAACCAACGGCCATAATACAAAGCAGTACGCGTAAGGAACCATCCCCTCTTGCCGGTGTCATGTATTTCTGCATGGCGCATGTCGTTACCAGGCGTTGAAGAGGGCGCCAGTCGACAAGCAACGCTTTCCGAGTAGCTCTCAGGCGGCGACGACGGCAACCACCAGCAGGAGCGGCAACCTCCTCCTTCAGGGCTTAAATAACAACAATAACAACAACAACATTAGTCCAGGAGGCGAGCCAGCTGCTGCTGCTACCTCCGATACGGTTGGACTTATGACGGCACTGACGACGTCATACACCGCTCCTGAGCAGCCACCACCACCACTGCCGCTGCAGCAGCCGCAGCAGCAGCCGCAGCAGCAGCCGCAGCAGCGGGGGTTATCATCCCCGTTTGTGGAAATCCGGAATGTGGAAACGTCGTCGCCCCAAGTGCAGCAGGTTCTTTCGGGAGCAGCCGCAGCCGCCAGCGGCGGAAGTGCTGCCGTGCGGTCGCAACGGCGGACGACGACCCCACCCGGGCTGGACTCAGACGCGACGGCTGCGACAGCGGCAGCGGCAGCAGCCGCATCGCGCGGCCGCGGGCCTGGTGTCTTCGCCACGCGTGCATCGCCTCCGGACTGGATGCTGGGCGACCTCTCCTCCTCCGCCGCGTCCTCCTCCGCCGCGTCCTCGCCCTCGTCCAGCCTCCGCAACGGCGCCTCCATGACCCCACTGCATGCGGCAGCCTCACAGCAGCAACAGCAACAGCAACCGCCCGCTGCAGCGCCTCCGGAAGCGCACCGCCCTCCCCACCGCAACGGTTCTGGGTTTGTTGCAGCTGAGCAGCTGACAGGCGCCGCTGCCCAGCAGGCAGCGAACACGCCTCCTGCGGCCGCGGCTGCTGCCGCCGCCGCCGGCACAGCCGGGTTCCTTCCCTCCCGCGACGACGGACTCGGACGCATCATCCTCCCCTCCCAGGGACAGCCGGCTGCCGGACCGGGTCGCTACTCTGACGGCCGCATGGGCTACCAGCTCCCGGCAACAAGCTTCCAAAGGCCTTCCGACGTGGCGGCGGCAGCGGCAGCAGCGGCAGCAGCACAAGCCGGCGGGGCCGGCCTCGCTGCAGATAGAGCACCGCCTCGGGTGTCCGGGTCCGGGCGTAAGTCCGTTCCGTTGCTGTCGCTCACACAGCCGCTGTCGTCGTCGCCGTCGGGCTCCAACAGTCTTTTCTTGCCCGGATTGGAGTACGAGCCGGCGATGCCTCCGGCGGCGGCGGTGGGGAAGGGATCCAGCAGCAGACTTATCAGCAGCGCCGCAGAGGATGCAACACCTGCGTCCGTGGTTCATCATCCTGCACGGCCTTCCCTCGGAGGCCGTGTCCTGCCGCCGGCCGCCTTGGTTGGTGTGGCCGGCGCAGCCGGCGACCCGTACGGCGTCAGTAAGGCCCATGACGACGACGACGCAGTGTTGCTGACCTCCCCGGACGGCAACGCCGCGACCGCCGCCGCTGCCGCCAGAGATGACGGGCCGTTTGGTAGAGCTCCGGAGCTGGCCTGGGCAGCGGCCGCGGCTGCGGATACAGACGCAGATACAGACGCGGCGGGTGGTTGGAATCGGACGCGGCGAGGAGGACCCGAGTCCCGAGAGGCCGAGAGGAAGGGGGAGGAGTGGCGTGGAGTTGCCGCCGCCACGGTGGGGGCTAAGGCGGTGATGGAAGAGGAGGAGCGGACTGGACGCATCGCTGTCGTAGTAGCTCCGGCACCTCGGGGTGGGGGTGGGGGAGGGGGAGGGGGCTCCGGGCCAGTCTGGGACACTGTTGGTGGTGGAGGTGGTATTGGTGGTGGTGGTGGTGTGGTGTCAGTTCCCGGAGGCGGTGGGAGGGGCCCCGCCACCGAGGTCTCATCACCCGCGTCTGGCTTTGTGGGTCCAGCTGCTGCTGCTGCTGCAGCTGATGGTGATGATGATGTTAAGGCAGTTGGTGCGGGGCAAGTGCTAGGTCCTGGCGGCGGCGGCAGTCCCAGCGGCGGCAGAAGCAGCCCTACCTACGGCCTGGCTCCTCGCAACAGCAGCAGCAGCAGCAGCCCCTCGCCGCAGCGCCGAGCCTCCGTGCCCCTCAGCCTGCGTCTCAACGAAGCCACTGCCGTGCCCATGGAGGAGTGCCCAACGCCGTCTCTTGTTCATTTCTCCTCCCTATCATCCTTGAGCGGGCTTGAGCTGCCGGCGGGCAGGACAGACGGTGCCGGGGTCGCTGCCGTACACACATCGCAAGGAAATCAAGCCCGTCGTGTGGGGACTGTGGGTGTGACCGCGTATCCCCCGGCGGTGGCGGCGGCGGCGGCGGATTCCCCGGGGGATGCCTTGCGGCCGGCTTCCCCCAGAGCTTCTTCAGCCGACGCCGCTCAGCACCAAGACGGCTCTTCTTCTGAGCATCTGCCGCTGCTACCAGAGCCGACTGTCTCCGCGCACATCAGCACCGTCGTCTGCTTTGCTGACGATGATGATGATGGCGGCGGTGGTGGTGCAGCGTCGCTTCCGCCGGCACCACTGCCGCCGCAATCGTCGCTCAGCAGCTCCGAAGATGGAAGTGCTGGCGGCGGCGGCGGCGGCGGTAGTGTCGGTGGCAGTAGCCACGGCCTGGCCAGCTTGATCGGCGATGTACGGCTGCGACGTCAACAACTGTCTGCAGCCATGGCCAGCCCGGAGCCTGCTGCTACTGCTGCTGTCTGGGAGCGTCCCCGCCATGGCGGCAGCACCTCGGGCTCACGTCCCGATGAAGGCGCGCCTCGACACGACCCAGCACCTGCCGCTGCCGCCAGCCGTCGCTCCGCTTCAGGCGCTTCAGGCTCCGCGTCACTGCCAGCGCCGAGTTCTCTTTCCCCAGACAGACCCCTCGTGCCGTTGCAACAGCTGCAGCATCATCAACAGCAGCAAAGCTTGGGCGCCGGTACGGTAACATCACCTCGATTGCCGGGCGCGGCGGCCGCCGGCAGATACGGGTCAACAGCAGGCGCTAATCCCGCGGCGGCAGCAGCAGCAGTAGCAGCAGCACAGCAGCAGCAGCAGCAGATACGGGGCCCGCCAACAGTGTCGCCGGGGCCAGCGGCGGCGGCGGCGGCTAGCTCCGGACGGGTGTTCGCGCCGGAGGAGTCCGTGGCAGCTTCGTTTTCACTGCACCAGTTGCAGCAAATGCAGCAGCTGGATCAGGCACTGCAACTTTTACAGCAGCAGCAGCAGCAGCAGCTCCTGCTGTCGCAGCCGCCCAGGCAGCTACTGCCGGCCTGGCCGTCTCAGCTGCAGCTGGTTCTCCAGCTCCTGTTGCCGCTGCTGCTACAGCCTCAAGGAGTAGATCTGCTGGCCGACACGCGCATGCTACTGCAGCAGCAGCAACAACAACAACAACAACAACAACAACAGCTGCCGCCGCCGCCGCAGCAGCAGCAGCGACAACAACAACAACCTCTGCAACGCACACAGCTACAGCAACAGCAGCTAGCACAGCAGCTGCAAATGGCACAGCAATTACAGCTGCAGCAGCAGCACGTGCAACAACAACAACAGCCTCCGCCTCTGTCTCAATCCACGGCGGCGGTCCCAACTGACGCTTCACTTCCCATAGGCTTGGCCAACATCGCGACGCCAGTGGTAACCCCCCCGCCGCCCTCGCCGCCAGCTGTGCAAGGACCCGCTACAGCCGTCACCACCGCCGCCGCCGCCACGCATGACGGCAGCCTTGAAGCCTCCGTAGACAGCTGGGCTCGAGCAGCCCCACTCCAACATCCGCGCTCACCACACCAGCAACAGCAACGGCGGCAGCAGCAGCAGCAGCAGCAGCAACAACAACAACCCAAACCGCATCCCCACCTGCCGCGTCACCTCGGGCGGGGTCCTGGATCCGCTCCTCCTCCTTTTCCCCTGGCGCAGGTGGCCCCCAGCCCTCCAGCACCCGCACACCCTCACGGCCCCCAGCCGGCGCACGGCACCACAACCGCAACCACCTCCCTGACCTTCCGGCCCCACCTGACAGCTACAGAAGGGAGAGCCCCTCGCCGCCGGGGAAGAGCCGGCAGGAGGAGCCGCAGCACGCCGTCTCGGTCCTCCTGCCCCTCCTCCTCCACCTCCTCAACATTATCCTCCTCGTCGCGGTCCTTCCCAGTATCTCAGTCGCTTCCCTCCTCGCCATCCTCTCACCTGTCGTCGCATTCCGGCGCGGCTGTGGGTGGCGGCCTGGGGCCGCGGAGGGGGTGGCTCGGGGCCAGAGGAATCTCCGAATTTTATCACCATGATCATCATCATCATCATCATGACCTTGATCATCATCGTCGTCATCGTCGTCGTCACCACGGGGCGCCGCACAGCCCAAACCGGGAGACCGAAGCAAAAAGCAGCAACAGCAACAGCCGCCGCCACCGCAGCTGCATTAGGAGCAGCAGCAGCAGCAGCAGCGGTAGCGGCGGGGCCAGCAGAAGGCACGGTGATCGCCATCGGAGGAGAAGCGGAAGCCGCAGCCGCAGCCGCAAGAGGCGGCAGCGCCACCGGGAACTGCGCTCCCGGTCGGGGCAGCTCAACCAGAGCTGGGACTCCCTGCGACCGCCGCTGCCTCCTCCGCCCGCCTGGACGTCTACGGGCGCGGCGTACCTGGGCACCTACTACCGGCAGCAGCGCAAGAAGCGGCAGCCGACAGGGTCAGCAGCGGAGGCGACGGAAGTGGCGGGCGGCGGCGGCCGTCCCGCTGCAGACAGGGCTTGCGCCTCGCCGGCCGACTCGGTGCCTGACGACGGCGACGGCAACACGGGCGGCGCAGAGGAGTGGCGCTGGTTCCCGGTGCCGTGGGCTCATCCCCCGATGGCCTTTTGGTATCCCGTGCCATCCTTTCCCGTGTCAGGGTTGCCCCGGGGGGCCCCAGGGGGGGCCCAAACCCGGAATAGCGCCCCGCAAGGCGGAGTGGTGCCGCCGCCCGCTGTGGCTGCGGCCGCTGCCGCCGCCGCCGCCGCCGACGGCAGCAACGCGGAAACAAGAAGGATTCCCAGAAGTGCTGTGCGGGGTGGCAGTGATGTGGGAGGTGCAGACGGGAGGCGTGGTGGCAGCGGCCACGATGGCGGCGGCAACCTGCATGCTGTGGCAGGGCCGCCGCCGTTGCCGCCGCTGCCAGCAGCCCACCTGTACTCGCCCGATGCAATCGAGGCCGCTGCCACAGCCCTCCTTCCCCTCCTATCAGACCGGCATCCGGGCCCGCCGATGACCGTGTACGGCTTGAAGCTGCGCGATGCCGTACACCTGGCCGTCAGATCCCTCACGCATGAACGGAGCAGGGCAGTGGCGGCCGCAGCGGCAACGTGGCGGGTGCCGCATTCGTCGCTGCTACAGCCTTCGAACAGCTTGATCGCCGCAAACCCCCCGTTCCGAGATAACGTAGCACCACCGCCCTCAGCTACTGCTACTGCTACCGATATGGCAGTTGCGGTCGGTGGGGGCGGCAGTGCCATGCTGCCAGCTGCAGCACCAGGGCGTGCGGCGGTGGCCGGGGCCTCCAGCCTGAGAGTCCTAGACCAAGGCTACTGCCGCGGGACAACTGCTACAGCGGAGGAGGCAGCTACAGCTGCTGCTGCGACGGCGGCGGTTGCTTTCCCTTCGCCAGGCGGACCTGCTGTCGGTAACGGCGGTAGTGGTGCGGGTGCGGGTGCTGGTAGGGGTCGTACAGGATTGAGGGTTCGTACACGAGGCCAACCCAGAGCCCAAGGGTCATCCGGGGCAACAGCTTCCGGCGTCAACCTCGGTTCCGTACGCGGCTCCGCAGTCGATGCGACTGTGTTGTTGCCGCCGCAGCCGCCACCGCCGCCAAAGTCGCCGCCACGGCAGTGGCAGCGGTCGCCACTGAAAAATCAAGCGAAGCTAAGAAGCGGTGGTACCCGGAGGCAACTCTCCGGTTCTTCGAAGTTTGACTTGATTACTGTTGCCGCCGCGGCGGGTGCGGCGGCGGCGGCGGCCGCCGCCGCCGCGGCGGCGGCAAAGGCGAAGGCAACGGCGCCCGCGACGGAGGCGGCAATGTCCGCGGCGGAGTGGCTGGCGGATCAATCTGGCGAGTACTTCAATCCCGTGATCCGGCAAGGTGCGGACGAACCGGGGCCGTGGACGAACAGAATTGCCTGAAACCGATACCGGATACCATACGCGTAGGATGCATGGCGAGACCTGTAATGGGACAAGCGGGTGCTCATTCTCCCGGGGGGGGATAACCATCAATATCCCCCCCGGGAGCTGAACAAGTGGGGGAAGGGCCACTAGCAGCAGCAGCAACAGCAGCCTGTGTTGGGAGGGAGCACCGCTTTCCATGGATCACGAAGAGCATGTGTGCATGTGGAGCAATATCACTGTCACTCCACCAGGGAGCTCCTATGTGTGTGCTCCGTCTATCTGTCTGTCTGTCTGTTCTGGTACTGTTCTGGTACTGTTCTGGTACCGGGGAGTGGTCGCCACTGTTATGGCGGATTACGGCGGCCCTTGCGGTAGGACCGGACCTAGGAAGCAGAGTGGGGGCCCCTAGGGCTTGTGTGCCAGCATATGAGTGAGAGAGAGAGAAAGAAGGGGGAGAGAGAGAGAGAAAGAAGGGGAGAGAGAGAGGGAGAAAGAAGGGGGAGAAAGCCAGCCGCTACAGCCCTCATCAGCTGCTGCTCACACCATACCACGATACGTACGACGGGCTCTGTACTGCACAAAACTGACTGGTGCGGATATAAAAAGATGCCGAGATGTCTGCCTGGTCTACCAGGGGTGCAAGCCCACCGCCTTTGGCTCACCGCCTCGATCTCCTCCGGAATGCGGGTCGGATGACGTGAGTGAGTGAGTGAGTGAGTGAGTGAGTGAGTGAGGCATCGGACCCTCATCACGAACGAAGTGACCCCAGGTGGCGGCGCCGGGAGAGCCACAAGGCAGTTACGGCATGGATACGGCAACGCTGCATCTACCACCTGCGCTAGCAACCCCCTCCCCCAAAGTCATTGTTACGGAACTGAATGTCACCACTGCGGGCTGCTGCTGGCGCTGTTGTTTCGTGGATGTGCAGGGGCTGCGGCGGGGATGAGGCCACTGGGGCGGACTGCGGACTCCGGGTCGATCACGGCCGCCGCCACGTCCCAGTCCCTGTCGCTCTCGTTCGCGTCGGCGACCAGCACTGAGGACGCGAACGCGACGACGGCGGTGAAAGCAGCAGCAGCAGCAGCAGCAACAACAACAGCGACCCGACGGTGCTCCAGCGCCAGCGCTGACAGTGGCAACGGAGGCGGAGACGTTTGCGATAGCGGCGAATTACTTACCGGCAAGAAACAGCCAGCCAGCAATTATGACCGCGGTCGTCATCATCCACCTAATAAGCCGCAGGATCATCATCACCACCATCATTATCACTATCATCATCATCCGCAGCAGCCGGGACGGGGGGAGCGGCAGCCACATCAGTACCACCACCATCACCACCGCCGCCTGCGCATGATCATGTGCAGCCCAGGTACACCCAGCCGCCGCCACCGCCCGCCGCGGCCCTCCCCACAGCCCGTAGTGCATCGCCGCATGCTGCAGCACCAACACCAGCAGCACCAGCACGAGCAGCGGAAAGGGCTGGGGGAGGACTGCACGCCTCTCGCTACTAGCTCCCCTTCCTCACGGGGCCTCTCTGAGGGGGCACATGGACGAGGAAGTGCCGCTCGCGGAGGACACGGCCGCGGCCGGTGGGGGGACCAGGTCTCGCCGTTGGGACGGCAGAGGCCGGTGGTGGCACCGCCGGCGGCGGCGGCGGCGGGTGGTGCTAATCGACGACGGCCGGGGAGATCCCTCCTAGGCGTGTTGGCCGCCGCCTCAACTGCCAACGGCAACGGCAACGCCGGTAATACCCGCGGCAGCCGTCCAGGCATCGCCTCCACCGGCCTCAGCAGCCCCGCAGCCGCCATGGCCGCCGCCGTCGAGCCCCCTCTTGATTTGGGAGCGGAGGACTGGCTGATGCTGGGGTCGCCGCAGGCCAGCAACCCCCTGCATGTGCGGAGCCGGCAGCTGGGGACTGCACAGCTGGACCTGCATCAGCGACTGAATGACCCGCAGACGGGGAGCCGCACCCCGCGAGGTGAGATGGACGGCCACCACATCCACGTCACGACGGCGGTACGGTCGCCGCTGGAAAGGCGGCCGCAGCAGGATCAGCACAGGAAGCAGCAGCAGCAGCAGCAGCAGCGCCAACCTTTAGGCCTCTGGAACCAGCACCTGCCGCCTGCCGGCAGCTCAGAGCAGAAGCAGCAGCAACAGCAGCAGCAACAACCGAGGTGGCCGCGGCCGCCGGCGTCATCGCCGCCGCAGCCGCATGATCAATGGCACCCGCATCCGGAGCAGCAACAGCACCGGCACCGGCAGTCACCTGACATTGGCCGCTGGACAACAGGCGTCATGGTGCCCTGGGTGAGAGCACTGTCACGCACCACTAGGCTTGCCAGGGCGCGGCGGGCGGCGGCGCTTGCGACTGAAGCAGCGCGGCGGGCATCAGAGGACCGACGTGACGCGAGGGAAGGGGCGGAGGTGTACGGAGGAATACGTGAAAAGAGCTCATGGATGGTCGCCGCTGTGGAGCCGCCGGGCAGCGCCACTACCGCCGGCCGCGGCGGCGGCGGCCTTACGACTTCTGACGGTCAAAGGGATTCCGTCCTGCCGTTGTCGCCTTGGGCGGGAGCTTCCAACGGTCCCATGGGCCATTGCGGGGGCGGCGGCGGCGGCAGCGGCAGCCGGGCCCGTGTCCGTCATTGGGCTGCAGATGATTGGCAGCGGCAGTCGCAATCCGGCGGCGGGGGCAGCAGCTCAGCCACGGGTGCTACTGGCTTTACGTCCGCCGTGTCGCTGGCGATACTATCGGGGGGTGCACCCAGCGACAGCAGCCATGCATTGTTTAACAGCTTGCCAAGCAGCAGCAGCAGCGTGGCGACTGCAGCAGATTCTCTGCAGGTGTCGGCAGCGGCCTTAAGGGGGGCAGCAGATGCGAGCGCAACCGCGAGCGAGAGCGCAGGCACCCGAAGCTACGGCGGCAGCGGCAGCGGCGGCAGCCATGCCCGTGGCAGCAGCAGCAGCCTGGACGTAGCGGGTTCTGTCATCACTCTATCGCCAAGGTCGGCACTGCAGTGGCGGCAGCAGCAGCATCCCACCGAGCCTTCCCGGCAGCAGCAGCCCAGGCCATCGTCGCCGCTACCGCCGCCGCCCCCACCGGTGCAGCGCAGCGGCGGGCACGCTAACCCCCACATGTCAAATACGCGCGGCGGCGGTGGCGGCGGCGGTGGCGGCAGCAGCGATGGCGGCGGCGGCGGCCCCTCCTGGGTCCCGCTGTTCTCCTGGTCACCTGCACCTCCTTACACGCCGCTTCCCCTCCTTCAAAGCGGAGCTTCCCCAGACCCCCTCGACTCGAAACCTCGGGCCTCGGGGGGAAGCTCTGTGGTAATATCGGAACCATGGGCCCACGGGCCGGAGGCGGGTGCTGCGCTAGCCATGTCGGCCTCCGCTGGGGAGGTGGCGGAGCCGGGTAGCGGGCCGCAGAGGCCCCCGCGGGCCCAGTCGCCGGTCTGTAATGGCAGCAACGGCAGCACGGCCCCGGACACCATTGACTTGCTGGCTTTTCTTCGGTCCCCAGGCAATGCAGCAATAGAGACGGTGAATGACTCCGCCGCAACCGCAACCGCCGCTGCCTCGCCTGAAGCGTCCCGGAGGCCCCAATATCCTGGAGGGAGTTCTGGGCTGCTGTTCGCACCGACAGCGGGCGATGGCACTGCCCGGTTATTTAATTTTTACGACAGCCGAGGGGGAACTGCAGGGGGTGGTTCAACTGCCCGGGCCCGTTACGGACAAACGCCGCGCCAAGGCGGTGGCGGTGGCGGCGGCGGCTCTGCTGCGGCCAACAGCGCTTACTCCAGCAGCAGCAGCATCCTCAGCGTTCCGGGGGTTGCTGCCGCCGCCGCCGATCCCAGCTTCTGCAGCAGCGGCCTGGACTACGGTCGGGATTACCTCAGCGCCGACTTTGGAAGCTCCTGGAGTGTTCAAATGCAGGAAAGGAGTGAGACTTACGACGGTGCTAATGGACAACAGGGTGGGAACACGCTGGCTGTGTCGCTGCCCCAGGGCTCCGCTGGCCACTGGCAGTGGACTCCGGCGACCGGAGGAGGTGGCTCTGGAGGGTTTGTCTCTGGCAGTAGGCCGGACACAGCGGCGTCCAGTGCTTCAAGCCCAGGGCCGCGATCCTGGGGCCCATCGCGGCCGGCCAGCAGCGGCACGGCAGCCGCTACCTCTCCGCGGCCAGGGACTGTGTGGCCTAACTAAGCCTAGAGGACAAGGCAGGGCTTTAGGAATTGAGGTTGAGGTCTGTAACTCTGTAGCAATCCAGGGGGTCCTAGGGGCTTGCAGGCTTGGCTTCACGGGCGTTGATCGGAGGGTGAGAAGCGAACCGCCTGCCTGCCTGCAAGGGGCTTGTGTTTGTGCCGCTAAGGCGGCGGACTGGTGCTCTAGGTTGCCGGAAAACGGAAACAAATACCACGGGCACTGTTAAGTACAATAATAGTTCAGTACGTTGAGTGGATGCCGCGTGTTGGTGCTGGTGTGCGGTGCTGGTGCGCAAAGAGGTTGGAGTACGCAGGTCGTAGAGGCTCATCAGCTTTGTTCTATCCTGAACCTCGGAAAGGGGAGGGGGATGGCTGCGTAAGATGGTTGGATGGGATTAAGCAGAAGACAAACGTTATGTGGAAGCCCTTGGGAGACCTGAGCTGGAGGACATGGGGTGCGGTGGGGTGGGAGAAGGTTAGAAGCGGTTGTCGAAGGAACGGTTGGGGGGAATCTAGCTAGTGGAAGTACAGTTGGCGGTGGGAGATCACCGATCGCTGGGGAGCGTGGACGCATGCAATCCAGATGATGTGCCTCAGCAACTGTGCTGTTGGGTTGTGTGCATGATGGCTGAACATGGTGTACATTATCCAGTTGCTGCAAAAATGCGAAACCGAAGCACGATAGTTTAGCACTGATGACTTCCTTAAGAGCTGCCCGTTGCCTGCATGAAATTGTTTTTCGCAGCGGAGGGTGGGTTAGCAGAGCTGGGTGAGGGAAGAGGAGAGGGGAGGGCGCGTTGATCCTCAGATCACATCGTTAGGTGAGAATGGTGAGAAGAGGTTTTCCCAGTTGTTGACCTGGGACATTAACTGTGCGGGGTGATTTACGACCTGTGAGGGTCCCGGGAAAAACTTTTTACGCAATACGAACATCATTAAACTTTGCCGACAGAAATATATTGTATTTCACGCGTTTCCATCCTGCCAACCATGTTACCCAAACCGCACACGTGGCGCGTTAAAAAAAAGAATACTTCCCGACTCGTGTGGACCTGGAGGGACAAGAGTGGTACGAGAGACTAATCCCGCTCTGCACACTGCACGCGATACGGCCTAGAATCCAGCGCCACGGCCGCATACCCAGCCACACATACCCACACGCAGACATTGTGACCTTGATGCCGTTTCGGTGCTGATACTACTGGCATTTGCTTTAGGCCGGCACACATACCCTTCACTGATCACCGCAACGCCGGCCAAAAATGCTTAGTAACGGGGGACACCCCAATAACGGGTAAATAAACCGACAGAATCCTGCGCCACATACAGCCGAGTACTTCTGGTCACCAGGCGACACAGGCAACGTTATCTTCCAACCAGACAGCAGCTTTTTGTTGGCACGTCCCGCCAGAAAAAATAGCCATCGTAGGAACGTAACCCCCCAAAGGAGCCCCCCATGCCGCTTTGCCTCACAAGGTGGGCCATCTAACGCCATATCCACCGGGCGTCACTGGGAGCCCGATGCCCTCTCTTCTCTTCTGCTGCTGCAGCTCCTGAGGCCCTAAGCCCCAGGATGGTGGCTGTTGGACTGCTCCGCCGTCGTCGTCGTCCTTGTTGCAGAGCCGTCGTCCCTGTTGCCAGCAGAAGCTGTGAAGCTGTTGCTCTCTGCAGGCGCACCCCCTGCAGTGTTCACCCACCCCCTATCTCCACCTGCAGCTCCTAATTTATGCAGCATTGCTCCAGACCATCACGACTATCCGTCGTCACCACCATCACCACCGTCTCCATTACCAACACCAACACAGGCGCCGGGGTATTCCCCCGGGCCCCCCGGCAGCTTTTAAGGGCTCGGCAGCGGCCGCAGATGTTACCGCGGCAGTCACCTCGCGCAGGCATCGGCGTGAACAACATCTTCAAAAACTGCAGCTGGTGCAATGGCTGTAGTGGCGGCCGCTGCAGCCGCACTGCTACTGCTGCTGCCGCCACCGATGACCGCGGCCTCACCCTTTGCTGCCATCGCCGCTGCCGCTGGCGGCACGGTGAGCGGCGCCGGTGCCTTCCGGTACGGCAGCCTCGACAGCGCTGCCCAAACTGCCAGGCCTGCGTAGGCGTCCAACGCCCCGTACCTGCAGTACAGCAAAGTACATGCCGTGCCGAAAGGGGAACGGGAAAATCGACTTCCCGCTCGGCGGTAGACGCGTTTGACTGGCACAGCATATGCACATGCACAGCTAGCTTCAAGCTGTCCTTAATTTTCACAGCTTGGCGACCGGTGCTGCTATGGCTGCTGTTGCAAGCACCTTCACTCGGACCTTTGGCCCCCAGTGCTTAGTATTAATGGAGCAGAGTGGTGCGACGGTGCGGTGCAGTGCGACCCGGCGATCTCCAGGTAATCACCTACATGCTGGACAACAACAACAGTACAGTACAGTACAGTAGCAGGTACCCCCGGTAGCGGGAAGGAACCGCTCCCCAGCGCAGCAGGCGTTGCCTGCACACCGTCAACCTAGCCGCTGCATAAAACGACAGGAGGGCCCTCAGATGCGGGAAAGCGCGCGGATGGAGGAGGACGAGGGGGTGTCACCGCGTGTTCCCTTTTCACTGCCGAGTAACGCTCCCCTGGTTACCGCCTCTCCACAGAGGTGGCGAGGTGGACATCAGTAGGTGGTTCCCAGAGGGGTGGAGTACTGGAGGTGGAGTACCCCGGGCACCCCGCCCTAGGAGCCGACATCAAGTTCTTTCAAGGTCCTTCCGGTCCCCCTCCCCGTCCCCCTCCCCCTGGACCAAAAGAAGTATTTGAAAGAAAGAAAACGCATATTATCCGGAATGATTGCGAATTCTCCCCCCGCACACACACACATACACATCCACACGCGCCAACTCCAAAACCTTCCACCCAGGCATCCCCCAACACGTCACCGTCACCCACCGCTTCTGTGCCGCGTCCAGTGGTCGGCGCTCCCAGTTGCCACAGCGGAGGCTGTTGGGTTTGGGCAGGTGCCGCTTCAGGACGGTAGCCACGAGCGCTGAAACGGTATGTATATGGCCCCGAGGGGAGGGGAGGGGAGGGGAGGGGAAGGGAGGGGAAGGGAAGGGAACAGCGTGCAACAGTCACGGAGGCCGGGGGGGATTGGGCGTGGGGAGGGCGTGGATGGGGGCGGCCGGTAGGGACTGGGTCCTTGCCGATGATGAGGTGCGGGATGACGTCAAAAAGCCCAAGCCAAGGGAGATTGCAGTGGCAGTGGCAGTGGCAGTGGCAATTGCTGGGGATGAGGATGGAGATGGTGGGGTGGGAGTATTGAGGCTCGGGTGGGGCACCACACCACCTGGCTCCCACCCTTTCCTCCTCTCGTTCCTCTTTCCAGCTCAGGAACAACCAGCAACAAACAACAAACGTCAGCAACACATACCCCTCCAATGCCCATCCTTTCATATCCCACACGTACACCCGCACTAGGCACCACACCTAACTCGCACCTGCCAATGACCAGCGACTCCGGTACTCAGTGTTGGTGGTGACGTGCTCAACGTGCTGCGACCAAGAGTGTGTGTGTGTGTGTGGGTGGGGGGGGGAAACGGCGGGGGCGGGCGGGAGGGCGGAGGAGCATCACAGACCCACAGACGGGGGTCCATTGAACCCCCCTAGGGCGGGGTGAGGTAGGGAAGTGTCTGTATGTGTGTCTGACAGGAGCCCCACGACAGGAGAAAAAGTAGGGAAAACAATGGCAAAGACGACCAATAGCCGAGATGCTAGTGCACACACACACATACATACATACGGAGAGAGAGAGAGAGAGTACACGCAGAAGCAACTTCCCACCTGCAGCACCCGTTCATTCGCCAAGCCGTCCAGCTCCAACAGACCCCGCATCTCAACCTGGTGACAGGGTGCACAGATCCATTTTTCTCCTCTCCTATGTACATGCTTCAATTCCCCTTCCTTTCCCCCTCCCTCCCTTCTTCCCCCTCCCTCCCCCCCTCCCCCCCTCCCTCCCTCCCCCCCTCCCTCACCCCGTAGTCCCGTTTGAGCTTGTTCGCGTCACCGGTGATGTTGACGCCCACCTGCAGGGACCGGTTGGTCAACATCAATTTCACCTCCATCTCCCACAAAAGTGGGACAGCGCGGGACCGAGGCGTGTTGAGTGGCGTGTGGGGATTCCCTTTCCCCCCACCACACACACAATCCGATCCTGGTGTAGTATCCGTCTATCTCTGGTACACCAGCTTCAATCGTCAGTGGTGGTTCGTTTTCCCAACTTCCATAATGAGAGGGCCAGCAGCGCCGAAATGCGAAACTCACACACATATATACATGTATACATATATACACATATATACATATATACATATATACATATATACATATATACATACACATATATACATGTATACATATACATATATACATGTATACATATACATATATACACAGATACACAAGCTCCGTAAGCGAGAAGGGGAGCTTTCTTCCTCTTCCTGCTGTTTGCCCGTTCTGGTACCTGTCAGGACCACACACCATCCGACCTGCTAGTCGTGTCATTGACACCATGTGGGGATCAGGAAGGGGGATACCACGAGCCGCTCTCAGCCGCTGTTTCATCATAACCAGCGATTCCCCCCCCCCTTAGCCGGTTACTGAGCGAATTTCCATTCAGAGTGCACCCCAGCACCCTAACCCCCATACACATACATACATACGCACACACATACATACATACACATATACGCACACACATCCTGTTCCTACCTTGCAGGGCAGCTCTGCCTCCAGCAGCGCCCTCAGTCGCGGCGTCACCCCGCTGTACCTGATGTGCAGCAGCAGGCAGCAGCAGTGCCGACCTGAGGAGATGGAGGAATGGAGGAGGAGGAGGAGGGGGAGGCCGAGTGGGGAGAGGAGAGGAGTGAGGTTAGTCGGCGGAGGGTGGCAGAGGAAGCAACCGGGGTTGGAGGACAAGTGGGGGCCAGAGTGGTGGCGGCAGGTGGTAGCTTTGGCACGTGTCGGTCTGCATGTCGGTCTGTAGGTCTAGCCATCTACTTTCCTGTCCGGCCGCCAAGTGCATTGCAACACACGCATTGGAGCACGTAGCAACAGAAACCCGAATGTGCGGCGCCTCACGTCCTTCATGCACACGCACCTGCTAACCGATCCCATCCCCCAACCCCAACCCCAACCCCTGACCACTACAGTAATTGCGCCCGATTAGTGACCAGAGCCCACAATGCCGATGGTGTCCTCTCTTTCTCTCTTTCTTTCTCGCCTGGGCCCGCACCCGCCTGGGCCCCTCCCCCCTTCAGATGGAGCTGGAGCTGGGTGTGGGGTACCGCACCTCGGTTGCTGTCGGCAGCAGCCGCTGCCGCCGCTGCGGTATCCCCACCGGTGTCATCCCCACTGCCGCTGCCGCCGGCGGTGGAAGCACCCAACGGCGCATCCCCACCTCGACAGACACCTGAGGCACCTGAGCCGCCAGCAGACAGAGAGCCACCACCGGTGCCAGCACCACTAGCAGGGCCCCGCAGTCCAGGGTGGGCCCCGCCAGGGGGCCCACTGGTGGCGTAGCAGATCTGCAACAGCGCGGTGGGGTTGCCCGGCGCTCCTGCCGCCAGGGGGCCCGGCAGCGCCCATATGGCGCCATGTACATACATATATGTGGTAATGACTAATTGTGAGGTAAGAACTTAAGAAGCTGCGGAGGAGGGCATTTACAGGCAGTTTTACCGCCTTCGCCCCCAAACTCGACAAACACCTTCTTTGTGTTCGATACCATCGCCATCCCCATATACCCGTATCGAAGGCAGCTCCGCCGCTGCCGTCGCCCCCGTTTTACGTGCGACGGCTCAGAGCAACGAGCAACACGACGGGCGACACGTACCTCTTTCCCTACTAGACTAGTCACCCATGTAGGTCCAGCATATGGCCCCTCGCCTTAGCACTCGGCGGAAATGCCGCTAGGCCCCCCGCCGCCGGCATCTTTCAAGATTTCAATAATACCCAGACAGACACACAGACAGACAGACAGACAGACAGGCACTCCAGGACTCAGGAGGGCCCTGCAACGCCACGCTGCAAACTGCCGTACGTACCTACCCGCAATGTACTGCGGTCGCCATTCCATGTCAAGTCCGATGACAGCCGGTCGTACCGCCTCCAGTTGGCCGCACAGCCAGTCCACCTCCACCGCCGTCGTTGCGTACCTGTCATTAAAGCAGCGGGAGAGGGAGAGGGAGAGAGGAAAATAGTAAAACTATAGCAGGTTACAAGTTCCGCACATAGCGAAGGTCGAAAAAGAAAGAGAAACCGACAACTGCCCTCTGACGTCCAATGCACCAGAATGAGAGGGGGAAAGGGAGAGAGGGGTTGCCGACGAGGTGTTAAGAGTGTGTGTGCGTGTGTGTGTGTGTGTGTGTGTGTGTGTGTGTGTGTGTGTGTGAAAGGAGTGACGGCTGGTGGTGATGGTGGTAATGGTGACTGTGATGGTGGCAGTGAGGCTGTGGCTGGGGGTTAGGAACAGGAAGCCGGCCACGGAAACCGCCACTTAAGGCAAGGCCTGGGCTTTTCGGGGTCACACGCAATGCTCTGCTCTTCTGGCAACAACACTCTACGGCCCCACTCCGTTCCCACAACCCCGACCCGACCCACCTGATGCTCCCTTCGAACTCCAATACGGGCGGCTGGGCACCTGGCCGCTGCACCCCGCCGGCCGCAGCTGCTGCCTTGGAGGCCCGAACCTCCGCGATTGACGGCAGTCCGCCGACTCGGGATGGACCGGCACCACACACACCCGTGTGGGTGGCGGCAGCCGCAATATCCACTGGAGCCTTCACTGCCGCCGAGACTGGTCCGGCCATTGCCGGCGCCACTGCTATTGCTGTCGCTGCAGCCGCCACCCTGCCCACGGACAGGGACGCCGGCAGCCGCCGCAATGACCCACCGGCGCCTCCTCCACCTGTGCTGATAACCCCACATCCTCCACCGCCATGGCCACAGACGACGCTGCTGCTGCTGCTGCCGCCGCTGCTGCTGGCATCCCCCCTACCCCTACCGTTACTGCTGCTGCCGGCATCGCCATCCTGGGCGAGATTACCAGGAGAGGCGACGGCGGCGGCAGCAGCAGCTACAGCAGGACTAGCGGGTGCAGTAGCGGGTGGACCGCCAGATGCACCGCTGCCCGCCAGGTTCACATTAGGATCCCCCCCTCCGCCATCAGCCCCCAAAACCGCCCACTCGCTGGTGCCTTTGTCGATTGAAGCAGCCGCCGCTGCCTCCCGGGGAATCCCCACGCGGCATGTCGGATTCTCCAGCAGGATGCCGCCTCCCGAGCCGCCTCCAGCATTGCAGCTGCGACGCTGCTGAGGAAGGCCACCGCTCTGCTCATTGTTGCCTCCACCGTTTCCGCCGTCGGTTTTGCCATCGCCATATTTTCTGTCATCACCGCACCCACCGCAGCCGCTGCCATTACTGCGCTCGGTGGTGGCGCCGCCACCGTCGCCTCCTCCGGCTGCACGCGCTCCAAGTGCCAGCAGGTCATCCGGGATGGTGGCGGTGGTCGGCACACGCGGCGGCACATGCGGCCGCAGCGATGGGTTCTCTTTGCGTTCCGACGTGGATGCTGCTGTAAGGGCAACCCCCAGGGGTGGTGGACGCATGGGCGGCTGGGCTATCGTTATCACCGCCGATGGCAGAAGCGGTTGTGGTGGCAATCGCAAGGAAGGAGGCGGCACGTGTGCAGCGGACTGGATTGGTATTGGTATTGGCATTGACATTGGCAGTGCTTCCAAGGACGCGGCAGTCAGCAGTGGTTGTGCTGCCTGTGGTGGTGGCGGCAGGAGTCCCGGCAACGGCGGGTGGTGTAGTGGACGGGGCGGCGCGGATGGCGGGATGCTTGTTGAAAGGGCGCCACATGCCGCCTTTGAGAGGTCGCATGTTGGTGCCCGTCCGGCAATGACCGTTGCAATGTCCGTTGTCCGAGAGCAACAGGCAACCACCCCGTGGCGGTATCGGAACAGGAACGAGAAAGCAAGACGGAAAGCGGAAGGGGCAGCAGGAAGGGAGCGGGAGGATTGGATACTAGTTGTTCCCATATACCTAAACCCCAGTCTAGCGGCGTAAAAGACCAAAGCCCCGGACGCGACCCGTAAACAGGACTAGAGGGCTTACACACGGTGGCGGATGTGAGGGGAGGAGGAAGAGAGTGAGTGAGGGAGGTTAGAACGTGGGGAATTCGAAAGTGAGGACGTGAGAGAGAGAGCTTGTGTGTTAGGGTTTTAGGGTTTATCTTAAAAACCATATGACAAGCGGGAGGGTGTGTGTGTGCATGGGTCAGGGGCCATGGATTAGCCTAGGACCTGACACCCAGTAAGTAGTCCTAGGTCCTGTTACCTGGTGGGCCCTCAATGGATGACCCCCCGCGCATGACCCTCTTCCCCCCTGACTGCTACTTCCATACTTTGCAGCCCCGTGCATACCAACCTGTGCCGCACATTTCATGTAGTTATCTGCTGCACTCGCGTCATGGCTCCCCTGCCGTGGATTTTGTCGTGGTTGCGGGCAGTGGAGGTTGTGCTGTTCTTGGCAGTGATGGTGATGGTGATGCTGCGAGCTGTCATGCTGTTGTGGCGGCTGCTCGTTATGCTGGGCGTGCAGTGGTCGGTGGTGTTGCTGCCAGCAAGGCGGGTGACCCCATGGATGCGGCTGCTGCTCCTGCAGTGACTGTTCCTGAGCTGCTGCTGCTGCTGCTGGCAACTGATGTTGTCGACCACACCGCTCTTGAAGCTGTTGCCCGTGTTGAAACATGTGCCCTTGCTGTTGCTCCTGACGTTGACAATCCTGCTGCTGCTGCTGTCGTTCTTCTTGCTCTGTATGCCGCTTTTGCTGCTGCTGCTGCTGCTGTGGCAGTGGTGGAGGGCCTTGGGCAACCTGGTCGCTGGTCAGCACCCTCCCTGCAGAAGCAGCTGCACTCCCCTGCTGCTGCTGCTGCTGCACCACACCCAGGTGGTGGAGTGCAGCTGGAGGGGGCGGTGGAACACAGAGACCCAGACCCAGTCCGGAAGAGCCCCCCCAAGGCCCAGGCCAGGCCCTCAGGTTCTGGGCTTCCTGATCTTCCGGCTGGCCTGGACGGTAATGCATGTGGCCACTGGGCCTCTTCCGGGTGGCTGGTCCGCCGCGAGGAGGCTGCTGCTGCTGCTGATGATGATAATGGCGACCACCGTCGGATGGTCCCCACCCGGGAGGCCGTGGCGTGTCTCTTAGGGACGCGGGGCCTCTTCCGGGTGGAACGAGGGGGACACGAGAGGCCTCAGGTTGGCCTCCTCCTCCTCCTCCTGACAGGGGACAGGGAACCGACACGGGACCTCCGTGACGACGTTGCTTCTGTGGGTGTGGCTGTTGTTGCAACACCGACTGGGGTAGGGGTTGGGGCTGGGGTTGGGGCTGTGGCTGCTGCAGGATGTAGGCGCCGCAAGGCTCCTCCGGCACGGGTCGTCCCTCTTTTTTAATTGCGTGTACCTGAAGAACCTCCCCTAGCAATGAGCGGCCCTTCATCTCGCCCTCTCCGTCTTCCCGCGCGAGGTCGGAGGTGCTCCAGTGCATCTGCTGCGGTTGTTGCTGCGGCGGCGGCGGCGGTGGTTGGGGGGCCTGCTCCGGATGGGGTTCCTGTGGTAGCAGCGGATGCGCGGCGGAGCATGGATCATGATTTGGATACGACTGCGGCCCTGCCTGCTTCCGATCTTGATGATGGCTGCCTTGCGGATGGCGGTAGTGATTTAGCTGACAGGAGCTGCGGTGGTGCTGGTGTTGGTGGAGGCTTTGGTGATGTCCGGTGTACAGCGGATGATAATGGCCATAATGCTGCTGACTATGGACAGGGAGCTGAGGCGGCGGCGGATGCTGCCAGGCATCCTGGTAGTTCTGCTGGTGGTTGTGGTTCGTGTGGTTAACCGTAGCCGTAGGCTGGGCCCAGGTATCTCCACATCCTTGGTTTGGCTGTTGTGATCCATCATGCAGGTTGCGAGGGCAAGGCTGTAACTGTTGCTCCTGTTGCGGTGTCGCAACGGATCGTGGTGTCATGCTGCTGCTGCTGCTGCCTGGGCCCACGGTTTGTCGTTTGGCAGGGCGAAGTTTGGGGCTGTCGCTGTAATCATTGCTATGGGGCAGGCCACAAACGGGGTTGGTGCTTGTGCTGGCTGGGATACAAAAGTTGCGGTCAGTCACGCTGATTCCCGTTGCAGCATTCTGAACTGGGAAGCCTGGCCCGACACCTCTTAGCGTTGGTCCCTTATCATGTTGTGAAGGCAGATCACTTGCCGACAATGGAACGGCAACTGCTTTGCATCCCATCACTCCATTCTGCCAGCTATGCCGGGCAGCCGCTGCGGTTCCCACGCTGGTGACGTCGCTGGCTGGGATCGGAGCGCAGGAGGTGTTCATAGGAGAGCAAACACTGGCCCTTATGTTGGTGTTATCGGCCAGGGGCCCAGACATGCCTTCCAGCTGCACGAGTACAGGGGTCGGTCATGTCAGCCGAGCAAAATAATCGCAAAATACTTACACAGAATTGACTTGCCTTTGCAGATTGCTCCACGGCTTCCAAAACGCGGTCCAGCTCCGCGAAATCGTCTGCCGACAGCTGGTCGACATCCAGGAAGTTTCATTTACTCAGGCGTCATCACTACTACTGGCAACTTTAAATTCCTTTCACAGCAAGATGAGGTGGACGCATTGCAGGCTCCGTGCTCACCTGCGAAAGCTGCATGGTTTACTCCTCAGGATGACAGATCGGAGCTCCATATGCGTAATGTATTGCTCGCCTTTATTCGAACCAACATAAAAAATCGCTAGAGTCCATAGCCTGCGGCTAACATCAGGCGTTTATCACGCAGAACAGTCCAGACCAAGGCTTCTAGTACTCAGGGGAAAGAAATTACGCACTCCTAATCTTGCCAGGTTAGGTCATCGGCTTGAAACAGTCGAGGTACGCAGCGCTGTGCCGTACCACGGCTCCCTCGAAATGTTCGTCTCGACGGCTACTGTAACAAAGCTCGTCCGTAATCGGTACATGCTCCCCGAAGTAAGGCATAGAAATATAGGAGAATAAGAATCCGAATAGTTGTGGTACTGACAAATACAGGTTGGTATTGAAAAGTTGTAAATACTCTCAGACGTACCGTTGGTACGGATGACCCCCGGTGAACCGAGGGCCGTTTGGCTTCTGCCTTAGCAGCCTTACTTTTCCCCTTCCTGACTGCGAACCCGTCCGTGAGTGAGGTGGACGTTTAGGGCAATGGCACGCTTTTTGCGTGCAGCTTCCCATGGTATGTGCGGACTGCATCGGGGCAGCCTTGCTTGCAGTCCTTGCGGACTCCCAGGAGTCGTACTTGGGGCCCAGTTTGTGCCACCTGCCGAGGTACTCCGTGGTGATGCGGTGTCTGCTGCAAGACTACCGGCGGGCGTCGATCTCATCCACATATACCGCTAAGGGTACTCTCTTCCCTATCGCCCCAAAGGTTTCCCTATGGGTTTCATAGCTGCTTGCAGCCTGTCCTCGCGGCGTGCAGATTAGAAATCGTATGTATGATGAAAGCGATTCCTGCGTAAGAGCACTACCCTAAGCGCACTACGACACAGGCCTGGCCGCCCACAGGCAGACGTGTCGCCGCATAAGAAGTAAGGGAGATGGCTGTTGTTAATGTGGTGCTGTACGGTATTGCAGCCTCGACAACCCACGACAACAACAACAACAACAAAAAGGTCTTCAGCGAAAGGAGCAAGTCCACATCTTCTCGTTAAGTAATTGAAGTCCTGAGCTGGGGTGTTACAGCTTACTTAGGCTGTTGGGAGTTAAGAGATAAACCGGCCTAACGGACGTGATCGCACAGCGCGCGCCTGCAGGCTTCGCGACTGCGGGGCGGTTGAAGACGAGATGCATGTTTTTGCGGAATGCCCGGCGTACACTAGTACACGGGCTAAGTACGAACGTGACCTCGCGTTTCAAGGGCGTGACATGTGCACGATTATGACCGAGGCCCCACCCCTGGCACTAGCCAGATTCCTCTCGGAAGTCTGGGAGACCCGGCACGTTGCTCTAAGGCGCTTCGTGCTCAAGCAGACGTGGGAGGACGATGATAGTCCACCGCGTAACCGCACCAAAAACGATTTACCGTCCATGGCCCCCTGGCTTAAAGGGTGATAAAGGATACTAACGACCAAAGGGAACGATAGAGTTGCGGTACGTTCCAGCATCCTTGCCAGGCGTTCAGGTTCCCACTTCATAGCGTCCTCCATATGCTCGAAGCGTGGGAAATCCATATTAGATCTGATTTTGTCGTACACCGGACAGTCCGGCAAAATGTGCTTCTCATCCTCGTAACTTGTAACTTACGCCTGCCTTTATGCACTTGACGTGAGCAGGGAAAAGTTGCGCTTCCGGGTGTGTGAATGTAGGGGAAATCAAATAAAAGGAAATGTGCACACGCATTCGTGCCTCCAGCATTTCACCCATTCACGCACAGGGCGACGACAGTGTTTACGTGCATGTCAGCCGCGCATCGCAGAGGCGAGCGACTCACAGCGGCGGCGCCCTGTAAAACGGCATGGACATGTTTTTAGATCACGTTCGTGGGCACGGTCTAAGGCTGGCGTCGAGGTCAAGGCGCAAGTCTAATGCAGTGGCAGAGCAACCGCGACCGGGGTGCCACACCCGGGAAAAGAAGGTTTGACGGTAGGGCTACTGAAGCAGAAGCATGCATATGATAAGCATACACTACTGAGCCAGACATGTATTCCGAGCTCAACTTGCGTCATAGGGGCAGCCACTAGATGTGGTGCCCCTGTCAGACTGACAGAAGTGGCGCAACATAACCAAATAAGCAAGGCGCAAAAATACTTTGCAGGTACGTAATATGAGAGGTATTTTTAATCATCACCTAGAGGTTATCTCACGTTAATTGTCCTTGCTCAGGCCAGCTCAGGCCTACTAACGTCCGTTGTCCGAGCGTTGACTTTCACTAAATTGTTGGCGCTTTGCTTATATGCTACGGAGTGTTTTCAATCATTTTGTCAAAGAGCATGATTTTCATACGTCAGTTCCAGCAGCCAGCCTTTCGGGAGGCGGGAGAGGCATGCGTACGGATTTACGAACTTTCCGCATCAAAGTTTACTGGTTTTCTCTTCATTGCGACTAGGTTTGGCTATGTCTTGTTTTACTGGTTAGGTGTCCTGATGGCGCATAATCCTCACCTGCAAAAGCTTACACGTCAACGGCCATAGCCTACCTGATTGGCCGAAATGACCATGTTCTTAATAATATTTTTATTACATCTCCTGTCTTTGCACCATCGCTCTGAGGCTCAGGCGGACTTACGAAGAGTTGGGCAAGATGACGTGCTACAGCAATGGCTCCACAAAACCAGGAAGCTGGCCCAGGAGGGGCTCGATGAAGAAGAGATAGCATCGAATAGAGACAAATTGGCTATCACTGTGCTGGTGACGGACTTTGACCGCAGAGGTACGTGCATCCCACGGCTGATAACTGTTCTGTGCTAATGGCTTCGACGCTTGGTGCCATGTCAACAGTCCTTAAGTTGGGGCTGGCTTAGTTTGTTCAACCCTGCATCCTTCACAACTTTGTGCCGTCCCCTGCCTTCCCCTCGCAACGGTGTCCTACACGCATATGCTAAGCATACACATGCACAGATAAAAATCCTTTCCATGCTGTTTCATAACATACGGTACGGTGAAGGAGGGGGGTTAACTCCTCAAAGGAGGAACGGGGAAAACGCATTGCGCCCATGAGGCGCCATGATATCCAAGCAACCGGTCCTCTCCCCATCATCACGTCCATCTCCCGCGCAGACAGAGACCGACTCACAATCCTACGGACCTGCCTGCAGCTATGTATGCGCAACCTGTTCAACGTCACGCCTAGCAAATTCTACGTGTTCACGTTCGAAGGCCAGGTGCGCCATGCGAAGCGCGGGAGCCAGGGTTCTGGCATGTAACATCTCCCCTCCACCCGCGCTCAAACACCCAGATCGTGGAGGGCCGTCTTTCACACTCATGTACACCACCTGTAGTCTTAGGCCCAGCTGAGCCCAAGGAGGCTCAGCTCCCAGCTCCCAGCTGAGCGGGGCCAGCGGCCATGTGTGCGGGGACAGGCACATCTGCAGCAGCCGGCTTTCACCGGCATTACCGGCGGCAAGTCATTGCCGGATTGCGACTTACACCGGAGGATCCACGCTGGTGCCTTAAGATGGGATTAAGCGGGGTTGAGCGGGATTAATCATCATCATCATCATGGTTAGCAGCAGCAACACCGGTATCATAATCACTCGCATCATCACCATCATTGCAATCTTTATCATCATCACCAGCAGCATCAACATCAACACCAACATCACCATCAGCGACACCATGCCTTCCATCTGGTCAGCGACCTCTCTCTCTGCTTGCTGGCCTCAGATTGCGGACGTGAAGGCGCGGCTTGGCGAGCTCATGCAACCCAATGTTGCAGTGCTGCCGGTGTTCAACAGCACCTGGAAGGTGCCGTTGCTGGCGAGCGACCCAAGTTCCTGGCACTCGCACCACAGCAGCAACTACAGGATCATGGGAGACTTGCGGCTGGGGTTCATGCCGCATTTCGCAAGGCAGATGGGGCATAGGTGAGTCGAACGAAAGGCCGAGGGAAGGTACAATGTATGTATGTATGTTGTTACAGGGTGGTTAACTTCGCCAGCGGCCCCTTTCCCGGGCAGTCCCTGCTCTCCCCTGCTAGAGGGGCACCCTAATCCGTCACCCCATCCAACTTCAGAATGTTTTCGTTGGGTTCGGCAACTCACCACCAGCATCCAACCAAATCTAGCGGATCATCGGCGCATCAACTTAGTTCCTGATCAGCTCGCAAGTTGATATATCCCGTCCTACACCGTCCACTCGATGGGGGGCTACCTCCCATTTCACCACTCCTCAAACACCCGAGGAGCCGGCAGGCGGATTTGAATCCGGGTCGGCCGGGAGCAGAAGTCAGGCCTTAACCTCTGCCAGCCGCCTGCCTATACGTATTTATGTATGTATGTGTGTGTCTCCTGGAGGGTGGCGGGACGCCTACGGGGCCCGGCGTTGAGCGTCCAGTGGTGTACCTGCATCCACGCGGCCCAACCAACCAACCAACCAACCCCGACTCATAACGCCATACCCGCGCACTACATCGACACACCAGCGAAACACCTACGCTCCAGCGCCCCCATTGTACTCATGCCCACACCCGCGCCCATACACACGCGTGTGTGTGTATGCACATGCACACACCCCTATCCTTGCGACACCCCCTCAGTCCAACCACCCTCAACCACCCTCAACCCGCGACCCCCCCCCATTACCACGTACCACGTACGTTTCCCCTTCAGGTACATGATGCAGCTAGACGACGATTCGTACATTCTGGGCCCTATTTCGGTCAACCTTGTGCAGCTGTTTGACCGGCAGGGCTATCTGTTGGGGGCCCGCAACATACAGCGAGATCCCCTTCTTGTGACGTGGGGTCTTCCAGAGCTGGCCAAGTTTTTCCTGATCACTCAGAAAATTGTGCCGGAGACGCTGTTTGAGTATTGTGATCCCCCCAACATTGAGGGGCTCTACTCAGAGTACAAGCGAACCGTGAGTGGCGCCGTACACGTGTACACGTGTGCATGACGTATTAATCGTGTACATGTACCTTATTATTAAGTGTGTTGCCGTATTTGAGTTTGCTGCGGGAGGAGGGTGCGTGTGTGTGGTGGGGTGGGGTGGGGTTTTTAGGTGGGGTCATGGGTACGCTCGAGGTTTAGGAAAGGGGCACAAGACTTGCACAGGAAGCCAACAGCGCACTCCGTCACATTCCGAGTGCAACAGAGGCCCTATAAGGGCCCCCTGCCGACCCATGGCATGGCCGCCAACGGCATTACCGTCCGGGGTGTGCCAGCATGGTATGTCTCCGTACCAGGGTTCGACACCCCGTACGGGGCCCGTAAGTTTTTGGCCTTTTTTCGGTATCCCCGTAAGGGCCCGTAGGACTTTACGGTGGCCCCCGTAAGGATTTTGGGGCGCGAAGCGCCCCCGTGCGGGGCCGCCGCCGGACCGGCCGAAGGCCGGTTACGGGGGCCCCCGTAAGGATTTTAAGGATTTATAAGAGGCCGTACGGGGCCCGTAAAGTCCCCCGTAGGGGAGAGGACGGACCATATAAAGGATAAGGCCACACACTTGGCAGACATAATTCATATTGCAATATTTAACTACACTTTTCATAATACTTTTACAACTTCTGGTCTGTAACATCCAGCGATGGCAGACAATGAGTCGTCAGGAGGTGACCAAGGGCCTCCTAAGCCACCGCCCTCCAAGAAGCGCGCCACGGCGGCCAAGGCGCTTGGCTTTCACTGAGTGTGCCGTGTCCCCGAGTGTAATGGTTCACGAGAAAATAACGAAAATAACGATTTACAGGGCAAAAAAATGCAAAGCGTCACTTTCCACAGCGTTTCAGCCAAGGACAGTGCCCCCGTAAAGGTTTTGCGAGGGTTACGGGGGCCCCCGTAAGGTTTTCGGCCGGTACAGGAGCCTGGTACGGGGGCCCCTCCGTAAGGAAAATTTGGGAGGTACGGGGGAGCCCGCAAGTTTCAGGAAGGTCAGTGTCGAACCCTGCTCCGTACGTACCGGAATGACGCGAGACACCCATTTCCCTCCTTAGCCGCCTCCGGGTACATGTGGTTATGGCCAAGGCCTTTCGTAGCTCAATGCGACGCGGTAGCCCCGACGTGTGTAGTTCTCATGCCTTCTTTGTGTTAACTTCCCTATGTGTCTGTTTGTTTGTCTGTTTAACTGCCCTTTTGTACGCATGCGAATGCAACGGCCACACCAACGGCCGCTACAGAAGCTGCAGGAGGGTTTGATACCCCGGGATCAACTGGACAGGTTGGACAAGTTGGAGCTGCGCAACCGCGGCGGTTGGAACCGAACCATCATGTTTGGTAACTGCCTCATGTACAGCCTCGACTGGTTTTTCAAGCCCGAGGTGAGCCACCTCCAGAATATGCTAAACAGCGTGTGTGCGTGTGTGTGCTTTGCGGGGAATGTATTATGGGTGGGATGTATTTTCCTTTAATGCCGCTAGGCGAAAGGGACCCGGATAATAAGGCCCGGTAAGCCAGGGCGCGAGTCTTGGGAGTTCTCGGATGGAACCAATCGTGGTCGTGCGCGGGCTGCTCACACCGCGATGCTATATGTGAAGTGCGGAGAGGTTTGGTTTTGGTGGGTTTGGAACATCCGGCAGTTTTTTTCCTGTTGTGTTGCTGTTGTTAAAGGAGGGAGATCAATCCAAGCGGGGGCCCCCAAAAAGGGGATTTCAATACTCAAGAGCACAGCTTTGTCCCTTGGGGTGCTGCACCCTGCTTTGAAGTTGGTGGAGGACTGCACCCGGCTCTGTCGTTCAATTTTCACCAAACTCACATACATGCACACTCACACACATGTGGCCTATCTCCACTTTACGCAGCCAACCAAACTCAATCCCTCTTTCTCCCCTGTTCACAACCGCCATCGCCCCTGCCGCCGCCGTCGCCGCCGTCGAACGCGCAGGTGTACCATTTCGTGCAGCTGTGCCGCACCTCTGGATCTTCGTTTGCGTACCGCTGGAACGAGCAGGGCGTGCTCGCGATGCTCTGGCAGATTTTCGTGCCGCGTGACAAGTTTGTCACGTTCAAGTTCGAGTACGCGCACCGCATAAACGAGACGCTGGCACTTCAGCTGGCTGCCAAGGCGGCTGCCAAGGACACCAGGCGCAAGGGGCGGCGGCAGGGCAACATTTATGCAGAGCACTACGAAGGCGAGATACGCGGTGAGCGGCGTCGCATCGCCCGTGGCAGGGAAAAGGCAACAGACGTCCGAAGTACTTTGTAGTAGTGCAGATCCGTCTTAGGTGCTGCCGGGCAGCTTTATACTTGACAACCATATAGGCGGTCTGTGTGGCGGGCCCCGTCAGCGGCCTGGAGGTGTGGACCATACCTGTATGTATGTATGCATGTATGTACATGATGAGGTGAAACGACAGGGCCGAAAGCTGCGCAAGCTCGTTCGCGGACAAGGCTGTGTCTGAATGACAATCACTCGGTCTGGTCGCCCCGCGTATCACATGGTTGCCGCAGCAGCGCCAGCAGCAGCAGCGCCAGCAGCAGCAGCGCCAGCAGCAGCAGCAGCGCCAGCAGCAGCGCCACCAGGAGGGCCTGGGGAAATGTCTGCCAAGTTATCTGAAAGGGGACACAGGTTCCCTCAAGCGTGGTAGTGGTGGTGGTTGTGATAGTGGTGGTGGTGGTGGTGGTGGTGGTGCAGCGCATGTGTATGTGTGTGAACGGCGGTTAATTCTTATTCTTTTCGGATGCGTAGTTAGTTAGTTCGTCCTGTTATTCGGATGGAGGATCTGCCGGATCTGTCACGCTAAACGCATGAGGTGTCTGGTGCCTGTGCTGCGGTGTCGGGGAGATTGTATGTATGCTTCATTAGCATTAGGAATCCCAGCGCGTTGGCCCGGGGGCATACGAGGGTGCGGTAGAAGGGAATGCAACAAATAGGTGTCAAGCTAATAGATTCTGATTCTGGACGGATCTAGTCTAATCCGGAGCTATGACTAGGTGGCGCATGCGCAACACATGACTCTCATGACACCTTAAAAAAACACATACATACCGCTATACAGGATGGGCCCTGTGTAGCGCTAAATAGGAGGATGGACTGCATGCATGAGTGCATGAGTGCTTGTGTGTGCGGCACGGCGTGTCGCACAGGCAGGCACGCACGCCGCGCGGTGTGGATAAGAGTAGTGGTGTTTCTGCCCTAAACATTTACCTCGCGGGTGACGGACACACCCCGCACAGCTGCACCAACAGGGCCTTTCCACAATTTAGAGTCGCAGGACAAGCACGTTACCGGGGGTCGATGCAATCCATAGCAAATTCGTTTATATGACAGGGCTAGCCTGGACAGCTTCACAGCTTGGTAGAAGCGTTTCCGCAGCTTGTGCAGCTTGAGCAAAGGACATGAGAAAGGCAAAAGGTGCTGGAATTTCGGTTGTTAGCATAAGGGCCCAACGACTGCATCAGCATACCAGTACTTTTTCCTTAGCATTTGTAGGACGCCGTTGTCGTGTGTCGGTACTTAATGTTATGTCAACAGAGGTGCTCGGGTTCTGGTGGGGGAGAATTGGTTGGGAAGGGGCACTGGCCAGCTATAGCTAGTTGGCTACCTAGGGCTCACCACACAGATTGGACTAGGTAAGAGGCGCGAGGCAAGAATTGGTGTGCCGCTGCCGCCATGTGCGGCTGTGAGGAAGCCGGTCGTATGTAATATGGTACCACCGCCGTCACCCATGCTGGGGCATGATTTTTGGCATATTCCGAAGACCCCAAGGGGGGGCTCGCTTGCGCAATACCTGATGTTTGCTAAATTTCCTCTTTGTCCTATAACGTGATGTCGCTTTTTGTCGTGGGATTTGGGGCCTGTGGGGCTTTGTCGCGGAGGAGGAGTGCCGCTATGTGAGGGGGTGTTTTTGTTTTTGTTTACTCCTGCTAGAGAGCACTTCTTCTTGTGGATGGCGTATGCATATACATGGGTAAGAGCGGTACTGAGGGGGGGGGGTAGGGCGGGGTTATTGCATTATCGATGTCGTCATTAAAAAAATATTATATAATACATATCAATGAAGAAGGGGTCGCATAAACCTGCCCCATTGCCTGGTGACGATGTTTTGAGCTTCAATACGACAACCTAGGCGCCCACGTAGTTTTCACCAAGATGCAAGCTAACAGTGTGCGAGGGAGTTTAGCGACATGGAGCGCAAAACGCCGGCGCTTGCTGGTGCGTCATTTTTTTCAAAAGAAGCCGTGCAGTGGGAAGAGACCCTCCTCCTCGGTTTGAATAGAACACGGCGTCGCCGTCTCAGAACTCACCGACGCCCTCCCCACCTGCCTACCTGCTGTCTGCGTGCATGTACGTCTCTGAATTGATGCTCCTGTACTTAGTAGAAGCCACCAATCTTTGCGCAGTAAATGTATGTTCGTGTGCAGATGTGCAGCTTCATGTGGGGAACGGGGGCGGGGAGAGTATTTACGTGTTGACTTAACTAGTCTTGGGGTAATATTAAGGCTTTTGCGCGTTGATCACGTAAAGTGCGGCGGTGGAAACCTGGGTGGCCATGCGCCGTATTATTGACCGGTTAGAACCGGGGTATTACAAATGGTTTGGTTCAATACAGTGTGCGCATTCGCCTCTGGTTTGCTTGGTGACGGCGCCTGAGGCACACGGAGGTGCATATAGCGGGTGCAACGGGTATGCGTGTTACGGCACTGTACTGATCGACCGCACTGGGGGCAATGAGAACTTAAAACGTTCCACCGCGCGACGTGTAGGGGAGGGCCCTTGCGGCAGTGGTGGTGGTGGTAGCAACAGTGGTTGAGATGATGTAGGGCGACTTGAGAAGTGGGCAGGGGGGAGGGCATGCTACATATCGAAACAGTAGGGTGTGATGATATAGGTTCTCAATAAATTCCCGGCCGTTTTGCGCCCTGGTCAGGGGAATGCGTCCACGATGCGTTCTTTCGAATGCACTGTATCGATTTGCTGCCCGGCCTAGCGGCGGTGATTCCAGAGCTTGAAAGCCGACGAAAGTACAACCCGATGGGATTCTGGCGGCTGGGACTCTAGCAGCAGGCGAAAGCAAATTGCTTATGAGCGCTTATCGGTGTCCAAGTAAATAACCTTCCCACGTTCGCATTGTGCGCCGTGCGTGCTGTTGAAACGTGCCGTACGGCCGTACGTTTCTCAGGCTTGCGATAAATAGGCTGTCAGCCTCCTCAAAGCCGAGGAAAGGGTTCAGGCTTCTTGGAGTAGGATTGCTTTCTGAACATGGCGGCCGAGATTATCCGGAAGCACCTTGACATACACGGTGTCAAACCCACTGAGGGCACAAGGAAATTTTTTACCATCTAGAGGAAATCTGCACTAGGAGGTATCCAAGGTGTGGCACGTTCCTCGGGTATAAGTTGCACCAGTGTGTGTGGGACATGGGGTGTGTGCGAGGTTGCGTTTTGATGATTGAGTGTGGACCCATACGTGCACCCGGGATCGCGAGCGCACGAGCATACCTCAGAAATCGACGATGCGTTTGCAACAGTGAGGATAAAGTGTGGAGCTTTATTGCGTAAGATGTTAAGTACAGCTGGCTTCATATCATCGGCCTTCGACACAACCAACTATTATCCCAAACCCCGGCTCAATTGCTTTATTAAAACGACACACAGGTCATACTAGTCATATATACCATTAACCTCAAGCCCGAGGTAAAAAAGTCAGGATAACAATGATAACAATTTTAAAGATCTGTGACAGCGACTATCATTATGGAATGAACTTGGCCGCGCCACAGTCATCGTTGTTACTTATTAGCATTAGGGTATCGTTAGGATGCGTACCCGATGTAATAGGCTCACCAGTCCATGATTATCCGGCAACGCCTTAACAGGTCAATTAGCGTAAAACGAGCCTTGACGGCCTGCAGGAGGATACCTTAAATAGGGAATGTGATATGATATTGCAACTTGGTCTGGCGCAACACGGCTTGCCGACCTTTACAGGCAGGCAGCCAGGTGGCCAGGCGGAGATTCAGAATTGCAGGTAGACGGGCACCGATCGTAGAGGGCCCGATGGGATCTGATATTTGCTGAATATTTCAACACTGTACAGTTGCAAATGGAACCTGGTGGAAACATGGCCATTCTCTACTGTCCGTACTTTCTCACAGAAGTGTGATGCTGTGGACAGCAGCAGACGCACAGCACGGCACAGCAGTGTGGCATCGCCCGTACAGCGCGCGGGTGTAGGTTCTCATTTCTGGGGTATCTTCTGGGCTGAAAGATAACGCCTGGGGCCCGCGTACCAATAGTATGTGGGGCAGTGCGTAGCCCTGAGGAACTGTAGAACATATCCGTTCCGTGATGTAAAGGCGGCTCTTCCAGGTGGTGCGCGCAATTTGTAATAAACGCTGTGAATGCGTGCTTTGCGTTGATCGGCTTTTAAGCTGCTGCTTAGGCAGATTACTCACAAACGCGGACAAATTTAAGGAGCTGTGCAACATAACGCACAGGGTATCTCATGTTTCGTCATCATGCTATTTTTTGCCGTTATGCTCCCGCGGGAGCTTAAGCTGTTAGGGGTCCCGTCCCGCTCGTAAGTTGTTCGTAGACGCCTCTAGTTACACATCATTGCGTAAGCTTTGCATAGCGGTGCATAAATGTAAGAAAAATGAAAATCAATATCCATCCAAGATTGCACAGGGTATCTCCCTATGTTCCCAGGCGGACGTGAAGGAGACGCGCAAAGAGAGGGGGCGTTGCTCCCTGGCGTTTACCGCCCGGACGCAAGGGGGCACGAATGACAGCCAATGGACACCGAGACTGGAGTCCGCACTTAAATTTGTTCAGATTAGCATTTTATGATAGAATCAATATTTGCGTTTGGGCGAACCGCTAAGGCTAGTCACAGCTGTAGCGGCGTTGCCTCGCTCGCTGTCGCTACAGAGCCGAGTACGTCGTGCAAAGGCGCAAACTCCTAGTAACATCTTGCACATACGTCGTTATACGTGAATCCAAAAACCAAACCGTGCGCACTCATCTTCTCGATTGCAGCGAGGCGTCAACATGAGATGGTCTGGCAAACCCGGTCAGAATAGCGAAGCAAGAGGAATAGACTCAGCAGTAGGAATTATATAGATTTATGTAACGCTATAGGTTGGATTGGAAGTATAGAGAAGGCTCCTAAGGCCATGTAAGCCGAGCCACAAGTAACGTCATAGTTTCCCATCGCTTGCAGTTGCAAAGACTCAAGAGAATCGAAACAGGTTATCAATCGTATGCGAAAAATATAGCAGTAAGAGCATAGCCTGGTGAATGTATGCCCCAAACGCCCGCCGACATCTAACTGTTCCTGACTAAGGTCCGCAACTCGATGCCTTGCCATACAATCAAATTTACAGTTCCTGGAGTAGTCAATAGAAATGGTTTAAAATGGTTACAGGCAGGAAATTACAAAGTTCATTATCGGACATCGCTTTGCGCCCACCAGCATTCGACACGCGCTTGCTGCTATTGTTGTTGATGTTAGCGGGTTCATCGTACAACAATGCACCGCTTTTATCGTATCAATCCATCTTAAACACTGTTGAGTCCCTGATTTCATGCTAGGGTCAGCCACATCTCGCGAGGTCGCGTGCGCTGCTCGGGCTACATAACTCCCTCGCGCAGCGTCTACATACTCCAGCCGCAAACTCACAGCCCATAATCTACATCTTGGTTACTGCAAGCCCTTATAAGTTATTCTTCAATCGACAGCTTGGCCTTAACTTGCTGGCTGCAGAATTGGCGGCCATCAAAGTGAACCGACCCCTGGCTGTCCAGGCGAGCGTAGGAAATAGTGCCTGTTGAGCAATTTTATTTAACCATGGCCAGGGGAGGTGCCTTGCTCCTGGCGCTCGTGCTGTTACTAGTACCTGCTTACCGGTCGGCGCGGCTTGGCAACCAACCACCCCTCTTGGCGGATTTACGCGTCCAAGCCAAGCCTGCTGTTGGAGGGCTTTATGATCTGGCGTTATCTCTCGAGCTGACCTCGCAAGGTGAGGCATGCCTGTCAAGGTGTTCTGGAACGCGTAACGCGGCATGATCGGAGGCCTAGGTGAGGCGGAGATGCCGCTTGGGGTCATGTTTCAATTCCATTACTGATCGCCGACTTAATCAATTCTGTTTGCGTTCGGTGCGTGTTCTCGATATCCGCTTTACTCTTACTTCGTAGCATCCGTAACACGTTAAGAGACAACCGGGCCCCAGGTGACGAGGAAGTGCGGCGAAGTAATTCCATGTGCCGTTAAATTGCTCACCAGTGACATTAGGACTTCTGCAACAGCTCAGCCTCGTGTTCTCGTGTTGCACGCATGGCCTAGCCAACTTCATTAAGTTGCGGTGTAAGGAATCGAATAATCATGGAAACATGAATGTCATATTGTTGCTCGTGTATTATATGTTTCCAACGAAATTCAAGGACGAAGGCTTGCGCCATTAGATTTGGAAACACGAAAAAAACGACGGTGATGCGCAACACCAGAAAGGACCCATTAGCATAGTTTAAGCCATTAAAGCGTGGAAGATATCGTGACCTAGTGAGGCTGGTGACATATGTTTTGCATGAATATAGCGTTGACTTTGACGCTGACCCGGATTACTGCTTCCGCGCCCGGCCCCCCTTCCTAACGACCGCTATGCGCGTCCTTCAGCCTTCCATCGTTAGCATGCCCTCTAACAAGTGTTAATCCCCCACCCTCCCTTCTTCCGTTCCCACATCGGCGCAATACTCTTATCACAGCTTTCCGCGTCGAGCTAGACGTAAACATCGGCGGCATTCAAATACGGCACACAGCCAGCTGTCCGTGCAGTCAAACGCCGGTCAACGTGGTCGTACCAGCCGTCCCCATCGCGCCTGGAGAGTACAAGGCCGTCGTCGTCGCCAAGGCAGATGGTCATCCCCCGACCATTCTTCACACCAACCATATCGTTGAGGTGCGCTGGCCCCAGAGCTGCGGAACGAAACGTACGATTGGGCCCCCCCCCTCCCCCTCCCCCTCCCCCTCTCCCTCTCCCTCTCTCAAGGGCTCCAGCGCATGTTGAGTACATCGCATCCTATTCCTTATTTCCCTTGAGACGTATACCCCCGACCGTCCATTGGGCAGCGCTAGGGGGTAGAGGCGCCGGCTTGCAAGCAGGCTCGGGCGGCTGGGTTGTATGGGTGACTTTGACGGCTGGGCTGGCGTTCCATGCGTAGGTGCCTGGATGGCTTAGCCTCGTAGGATATCAGGAGGTGAAGAAGAGCGTGTTTTGTCACATTGTGGTGTGTGGTGTGAGTTCGTACATTTCGACGTTATCGTTTAAACCGGTATACGTCGTTTAAAAGCAGGGGGGGAAGGTAAGGTTAAGGGGCTTTATGCGGAACAGCGCTCACACTACTTCCCCCCCCCCGGTCACCGCCTGGGGGGTTGCTCTCCAAACCGATGCCATCACCTTCCCACGCCGCCGGCCGCTTCCCACTCGCTCCTCCGTCTCACCCTCCGCAACAGCGACAGCAGGAGGTGCAGGTGATGATGGCGAGCGGCAGCAGCGGCAGCAGCAGCGGCAGCAGCAGCGGCAGCATTTTGGCGGAGGGCAACAAGGGCCTTGCGGGCCGTGCCCGGCGGCTGACACAGACACAATCGGGCACGAAAAACCTGCCTCCCATTCTCGGTAAGAAGGCCAAGTCCCCCCCCCCACCGCCGCCACAGCCAGATGCCCCCCAACCCCCCGTGCTCTCTTACCCGCCGGACGCCGGCGGCCCTCTTCCACCGGCCTCGCCAGATGACGGGGGCTCCCCGCCCGACGCCAACCCGCCGTGGAATGCAAATCAGCCGGATTTTCCAGAGCCG